TAAAAAGCCGAGAATCTACAAGGAACACAGCTGGGTGCATATTTTAACAGTCCTCCTCTTTTTGTTAGTCTTTCTAGTCAACATGGCTGAGGTGGAATCTTGATTAATCTTAGCCACTCATGATGTCTTTGCCAATGACAGGAGTGGGTGGATGACCAATAGCTAGCTAATGAGGCATGAGGTCAAATCTGTTAGCGTTTGTAGCAAAATTTTGCTTTTAAGAAATTCAATAGGAAAAATAGAAAATAACTAGAAAATGATGCCTCCTCTGCTAGATGTTTTCTCAGTATTCCTTTTATAAAATTATGGCCATTTCAAGATAATGAGTTGAACCAAATTGAGGATAGGCCAACAGAGAAATGAGTGGAAGGAAACAATCACAAGAACTAATTTCCTTGACGTTTTCATTGAACATCTCAACCCACCTTGTAACAGCTTAAATCAGAACTTATGTGAAATGAGTTTATTTAAACTAGCTAAATTCGGATTCAATTTAAGGCAAAGTAATTGATAAACTATTAAGCCATGGCAATGAAATGTGACCACAAACTATATAAAACATTTAGGTATTCATGTACCCAAGCTGTTCTCTTCCGGTTCATTTGCATTAACACACTGTACAGCCCTTTTCTAAAATCCTGGCTAGGGACCCCTACCGGCTCTTTTAAAAGAGAAAGATCCCCTGCCTTCCAAAGGTGAAAGAAGTACTAAGAGCTCCCCAGAAAGGTCCTGGGGGGGTGTGTGTTCAAGTGGCACATGTCACTTTCTCTACCCAAAACATTGCCAAGTAGATGATGGTGAAGCTGCTGTAGCATCAATTTTATTTTCAGTTTAGGAGGGGAGAAGCCTGAATTCAGAACACTGCCTCTCGGGCAATGGTTCTCAGCCTTCCTAATGCCGTAACCCTTTAGTACAGTTCCTTATGTTGTGGTGACTCCCAACCATAAAATTAGTTTCATTGCTATTTCGTAACTGTAATTTTGCTACTGTTATGAACCAGGCGAGTCACACCATCACATCCTAAAAGAACCAAACGAATACCGAAATCCAAAATCTCATTTTCTCATTCATCTAAATATGGATGAGGCTTTAGGCATGGTCCATGCTGAGACAAAACTTCTCTACGGCTGTGAACCTGTGGAATTTTAATGGCGGTCCCACATTATGGAACTGAGTTGGCAAAGATCTGATTGAAACCTACAGGCTGTAGCCCCAGCTTTTGCAGCAGAGGTGGTCTTCCTCCTTTCAGCAGTTCTACTACCTCCAAGGATGGTCTTTTTTGCTTTTTCTTGGAGGACAACAGATATCGCTCCTTTGGCTTGTTTCCTGCCAGATTTCATGAGGTAGACAGTGTTCTTCCTCTTCAATCTTATCGGGTGGATTGTCTCCTATGATGCTTTGTTTGATTCACTAATCATAGGTTTAAACTCTTTAATTAAAGCTTGTGCATCTATGTCCTTCTTGAACACTCTAGGACTTAGGTTGTACAACAGCATTTTCCAAATCTTTAAGTTCTGTTTTCACTTTGCACAGTATATTTTTAGTCCACTGATTTCTTCTTACATTTTATCTAAACAGCAAGAACAGGGAAAACCCTTTTAAGGTATTGTTTACAAATGTTGGAGAAGGCCTGGTAGCACAGTGGTTACATATTGGGCTGCAATATTCAAGGTTAGCAGTTTGAAACCAACAATGGCTCTGTGGGAGAAAGTCAAGGGTTTCCTACTCCTAGTGAACAGCTATCTCTGAAACTCACAGGGGCAGTTCTACCACCCTACAGACTTCCTATAAGTCAGTACTGACTTGATGGCAGTAAGTTTAGAAATCTCATCAAGAAACCATATTTACCACTTATAAATTCTACCTTCTGTCAAACATCTGAACATAGTTGGGAAAAATTCTATGCTATTCTATATTAAAACAGCATTGCTGTTCCTCCATTGTCCAATCACACAATTTCTATCTCTTCTTCTTCTTCCAGGATTGCATTATATCTGTTTATCACTTTGGGTAATATCAAGTTTCACAATATGCACTCTTCCCACCCACACATGCTAATCATTTTATATTAAAGCCCCACCACAAGCACATTTAATGTACACATTTCCAGTAATACTCTGTTACTGGCACTATTCAGTCTCCAAAACAAGAGAGATCTCACTTCCTTTTGAGCCCTCACCAGAATTGCCTTTGAAGCCCGTAACTCTACAATCCAGTCTCAAGGCAATCCAAACTTTTGTTTTTGGGTGCCCTCAGATCTGTTCTCATAGCAACGCTGTGTACAACAGAATGACACACTGCCCGGTCCTGCGCCATCCCCACAACTGTTCTTAAGTCTGGGCCAATTGTTGTAGCCACTGTGTCAACCTGCCTCGTCGAGGGTCTTCCTCTTGTTCATTGCCCTCCACTTTACCAAGCATGATGTCCTTCTCCAGGGACTTCTCTCGCCTGACATGTCCAAAGCATGTAAGATGAAGTCTCATCATCCTTGCCTCTACGGAGCATGATGGTTATACTTCTCCACTTTCAGCCAAGATCCATCTGACGTCAGTAATGATATCCCTTGTTCCATGTCCTCTTCTGAATCTGATCGAAAACTCTGGCAGTTCCCTGTGCATGTACTGCTACAAACACTATTGGATGATCTTCGGCCAGATTAAAAAAAAATCATATTACTGGGGGCTCATATTCTTATCACGATCCATATATACAATTGTAGAAAATACATTCGTTACCCTCATCATTCTCAAAACATTTGCTCTCCACATAAGCTCCTGGCATCAGCTTTTGTCCCCCTCTCTCCCCATTCCCCCATGAACCCTTCAAAATTTATAAATTATTTTGTCATACCTTACTGTCCGCTATCTCCCTTCACCCACTTTTCTTCTGCCTGTCGCCAAAAGTTATATGTAGATCCCTGTAATTGGTTCCCCCTTTCTACCCCACCCTCCTGGTATTGCCACTTTCGTAACTGGTCCTGAAGGGATCACCAGTCCTGGATTCCCTGTGTTTCCAGTTCCTATCTGTACCAGTGTACATCCTCTGGTCTAGCCAGATTTGTAAGGTA